TTTTACATTTGGTAGTGTATATATGTCAGTGCTACTCTCTCACTTCGTCCCAGCTTACCCTTCCCCCTCCCCATGCCCTCAAGTTCACTCTCTACGTCTGCGTCTTTATTTCTGTCCTGCCCCTAGGTTCATCAGAACCATTTTTTTTTTTTTTTTTTAGATTCCATATATATGTGTTAGCATACGGTATTTGTTTTCCTCTTTCTGACTTACTTCACTCTGTATGACAGATGGTTTTCTCAGAGTATATGCCCAGTAGTGGGCTTGCTGGGTCATACGGTAGTTCTATTTGTAGTTTTTTAAGGAACCTCCATACTGTTCCCCATAGTGGCTGTATCAATTTACATTCCCACCAACAGTGCAAGAGGGTTCCCTTTTCTCCACATCCTCTCCAGCATTTATTGTTTCTAGATTTTTTGATGATGCCCATTCTGACCAGTGTGAGGTGATACCTCATTGTGGTGTTGATTTGCATTTCTCTAATGATTAGTGATGTTGAGCATCCTTTCATGTGTTTGTTGGCAATCTATATATCTTCTTTGGAGAAATGTCTATTTAGGCCTTCAGCCCATTTCTGGATTGGGCTGTTTGTTTTTTTGATATTGAGCTGCATGAGCTGCTTGTATATTTAAGAGATTAATCCTTTGTCAGTTGCTTCGTTTGCAAATATTTTCTCCCATTCTGAGGGTTGTCAATAAAGGGAATATTTAATAGGCAAATATACTCCAGGTAAGAAGTAATGAAATCTGAGCTAGGCTATGGCACTGAAATAAGAAGAGGAAATAGAAACAAACATTGCAGAGGTACCTTTCATAGGAACTGGCGGCTGGATTTGAGACAGAGGATAAAATTTTAAAGTGGAAGAGTCAAAGAACTCCAAAATTTTTATTCTGGGTGAGGGCAGAATGACGTCACCATAAAACCCAATTGGAAAGCCAGGAGAAACAAGTTGGTGTAAAGGAAAATGAGTTCAGTTCTAGACATATTAGGTTTGAAGAAGCAACAGGGTATCCACGTGGAGGCAAGGAAGTTAAGTGAGGATTTGGAACTTGGCAGAAAGACTGAGGAGCTAGAGGTACACCTACAGAGGATCCACTGCTACATAGTCTCCTATTATGGACTCAATCTCCACAGGAAAAAAAAAGAGGACTAAAAACAGGCTCCTAGAGAAGGTCTATACTTAAGTAATCTCTGTATGTTTGTGTGTGTATTCCTGTATTAAATGGAAGGTTAGACAAAGAGACCTAGCTAGCCCTTTCTACTTCTCAGATCCAATCCAATGACTTTAAGTAACTAAAATATAAATAATGATCAGTGAGAGTTATGCTTAACCACTATTCACTTAAAATTTAAACTCTAAGAATTTTTTTGAAAATTTGGGGGACATAATATTTCCAACAAAACTTAAATTAGAAAACGAAAAGCATTTTTTGAATACCAATGGCAGGCATTGTCCTTGACTCTAGAGAAATCTGAAAGTGAAAAAAGACATGGTGAGCCCCCAGAGGGCCAACACGGTGGGACAGAGCACTTCATTTCCAAAGCTTATTATATCCAGATTCATATACTGAAAAATGACTTAGCAAATCAGATCTTAGGTTATGTCTTGGTTCTATGTTAACATTAAAAATTTCTTTCATGTATATCTATAACTTCTTATAAACATTTGAGAAGAAATTAAGCATATCTTCTAACTAGAGGATAGAGATTTTATCTTATTTGAAATGACAAATCTTCAACTTCATTACAGAAACACAGAATTCAATCCATAATACAGTCAAACCTCAATTAAGACCACTTATTTAATACCATCAGCATCCTGAATGGTGCCAAACTAAAATGCTTTGTTTTCTTAAAGAAAAGGGAAAACAACTGCTGGGGCAGAAAAGAAAAAAGAACTTGGGGGTGGTGAACATTAATAAAATCAGTCAAGCAGAACTAAAAACTTGAAGATTAAATTTAATGTGTAACTTTCCATTTTCCAAATGGAAGCTTTGAATAGTGACTTATGACTAAAACATCCAGCCTTTTCCAGGGAAAAGCTAGGGCCCAGAGGCAAAGCAACAGAAAACAAGAGATGACAAGAAAAGCAGACAGGAAGAAGAGAACCAGAAGTAGAGGTGAAATGAGCAATAATTATAAGTGCTGATAGAGAAAAGGCCCACAAGAAAAACTGAAGGCAGGACAATGTTTCCTTCTCCTGAGGAAAAAAGCCACTTTTAGTTCAAGAGGCAATCTAATGACCTCACTCCCAGATAAGTAATTTGGGGGCCAGGGCTGAGGGTGGTAAACCTCTAAACCTGCATCATTAGTACCTGTGTATACCACTTAGGTGTGAACCACTTTAGTGTTACTCACAGTTACTGGGAAAAGGTGACGTGAAACCTCATTATGTTGAATAACTGATTTTTACTATATTAATTATATTCTACTTTATTCTAGATTTTATACTAAAAAATTATTATAGAAATTTAAGCCTCACAAAAATTATGGATGAAACATTAGAATATGAAAATCTAGACTATATAATTTGAGCATTTCAATACCTTGATTTAAAGGGGTAAAATCTATTTGGTATCTATTAAATAGTATGCATTTTAAATGTGAACTTATTAAATTCTTATAACTACCTGACGAAAATGCTTTTATTGCAATTACTCAAATGATTATTAAACCAAAATTCTAAATTGTGGGCAATTTCTTTTTTCAATTAATACATTCACACTGTAAAAAAAAAAAAGGCCTAAAATAGTACAAAGAGAAGTAAGATTCCCTCCCTAGAGGCATTCACTGTCAACAGTCAAATACCAACCATTCAGCCGTCACTGCGCTGCCTTTTTTGGGGGGATGCGGGGGGACAGGGGAGAGGCAGCAATTACTGTTTGGACTTTTAAGTGCTGCATGCCAAATATACAATTAAATTATAACTAAGCCTTTATTATACTGGTTTTTAAGATGCCTCTCAGTTTCAGAGATGTTAACATGTGAAAAAATATGTATCTTAATGGGTGAAATATGGTATATGATGTCTCGCTGATTGTGTTTTTCAGAATTTAAATGCAGTATCTAAGAAGTAACACTACTTTATGGGATGGGCTTCAAATATCACCTTTATAACTATAAGAAATATAATTAGAAAGTCATCAATCATACACATGTTCCCAAGTAAATGTGGCTTTTCTAATCTTTCCATTGATCTGACCCTGCCCTCATACCACACTGCTTTAATTACACTAAGCCTTGACATCTGGTAGGAAGAATTCCTCTCTCTTGTTCATCTTCAACACTATCTTAGCTATTCATTTATCTTTACTCTCTCAAATGAATTTTAGAACCATTTGTCAAGTTTCCAGAAAAACCCTCCTGGATTCTGATCATAATCCTCCTGGATATAATGTAATTGCAATTATGTTAAATTTATAGATTAATTTGGGAGAACTGACATCTCTATAATTTTCAGCCTTCCTCTCTATGAACACAGTATCTCTTTCCACTTATTCAGGTCTTTCATGTTCTTCGATGCAGTTTTATATTTTCCTTCATAAAAGTCTTCTACATTTTTTCTTAAGTTTTATTGGTAGATACTTTATAGTCTTCTTGCTTCTCAGATAAGTATCTTTAAAAAAATTACATTTTCTATTTATGTCAGTAAAAAGGGATAATATTTATTTTTTTCTGTGATGATTTTATATCAAGATTGCTAAACTCTATAAATAGAAGGTGAACTCAGTTTCTTGGGTTTTCTATGTAGACTATTGCGATGGTTAACTTTTTTTTTTTTTTTTTTGCGGTACGCGGGCCTCTCACTGTTGTTGCCTCTCCCGTTGCGGAGTACAGGCTCTGGACGCGCAGGCTCAGCGGCCATGGCTCACGAGCCCAGCTGCTCCGCGGCATGTGGGATCTTCCTGGACCGGGGCACGAACCCGCGTCCCCTGCATCGGCAGGCGGACTCTCAACCACTGTGCCACCAGGGAAGCCCTAACTTTGTTTTCATATTTGAAAGCTCTAATGGTTTACACCTATGAAAATGTTACCTATTTACTTCCAACGGATATGTAATTTGAGTAGCTTTCCTCTTTAAAGGCGGGCTTTTGTGGCAATTGTGATCTTCCTTGGGACCAACTACTCCCTTAGTAACTTAGTTGCCATGTGTTGAGATCTTTGACGAGGAGATAAATGGCTTATAAAGCGATCAATTCTATCCAGGTCCTATCAGCATCATTTTTTGATATGAGTACCTATACACATTTACCTCAAACACTTTAAAAAAGAAAGGTCTAGGGCTTCCCTGGTGGCGCAGTGCTTGAGAGTCCGCCTGCCGATGCAGGAGACGCGGGTTCGTGCCCCGTTTCGGGAAGATCCCACATGCCG